AGCGCGAGCAGGGACGTGAGCACAGAGAAACAAGCAGCTGCGCGAGCATAAGCTCTCGGAGCTCCCCCAGACCTTCCAGGAGGGCTAGAAAACATGATTAGCACCAGGGCCTCGACGTCTCTAAACTCCCGTCGAGGTCTTAGGCAGTCCTGATAGGTCCATAGGTCTGGGGGGCTATTTTCTGGCCCTCTGGAAGATCAAGGTTCCCGTGGATTTCTCGGATTGGCGCTGGGGCCCACCCGGCGGCGCCTCCGGCGCCGCCCCTGGCGCGTTCCGCGCGACAGGGAGGGGTGTCCAGCGCCGATCCGAGAGATCTGCGCAGGGCTCCGAACATTTATGTTTATGCACCGTTTGCTTCTTCGAGATCATCCCGGCAGACACCATGAGGCTGACGAAGAAAAGGCACGGCACGTTTCGAGGGAAGAGACAAGATGACCACGACCAAGACGTTGGGGAATCGTGCCGACACCCATCTCATTCATGGCCCATGCCGGCCGACGCCGATCTTCGAGGATAACCCACGACTTGACGATGGCCAAGATGGACGATGACCAAGGTCGGCGCCGACGCTTCCGCGCTCAGTTCTGGCCGTGGCCCTCGCTTTCTTTCCTTCCTCTGTTGCCTGCGACGATGCAACGCCCGAGCACGCAGCAGTGGTGGTCGAAGCCCGAGTAGCAGCGCTGGCACACGCCGCAGTGGTGGTTGCGGGCCGGCCTGTCGACCTCGGTGCGAGGGAGAGCGGGCCCAAATCGTACTGAAGAACCCTAATCCCCAAACATCATTTCGAGCCCCCAAAGCAAACATCGAAACAGCGTCGAACGAGTATCGCCTCCCGGGGCCAGACACGTGGAAGCCCTCCAATTTCTGTACGTGCTTGGTGCTCGAAATTCCCTATGGTGATCAAAGCTTGAGTAAGTTGGAACATCATAACCCGTGCTGTGGAAGCGGACCCGGGCCCTGGGCCGGGGCGCTCTCCAGAACCAGCTTTCCCATCCGATGAGGAGCTCAGCTTGGCAACCCTGGGGTTCGGCCCGGAAGTGGGGGAAAACAACCAGTGCTGGGCAGGAATTCATCCAAGACCACCGCCTGGGGACCGATCTTCGGGGACTTCGGCAGGCGGCGCGCATGGGGATATATTTGGCCTTTCCAGGCACGACCACGTCCATGACCACAGCCTGCCGAGGTCCCCGAAGATCGGATCCCCAGGCGGTGGTCATGGATGACTTCGCGCCGTGGACCCAGTGCCCTCTCTCAGCCAAGAGCCCGTTGATGTATGTTCCTGCGCTGCGGCTGCATGATTTTCACAGAAAAATGGGCCCCCAAAATTCTGAACACCTTCCCAGAGACCGGGTTTTCTCGGGAGCGGCCAAGAGAGGGTGTCCAGGAGGGGGGGTGCAAATCATGGCCGGCGGCCCGTGCGCGGCCCAGGGACGTCATGAAATAAGAAGAGGCGCCGTGACATCTGGGGAAATATCAAGGCCCGCGCCATGATACCCCCCTCCCCCCCATCTAGTCATCACCCCCCTCTTTGCCGCCCCCGATTTTCACTCTGAATGAATTCCCGACGGCCCCGCGGCCACGGTCGGGCCCCAAGAGGCCGACGCACGGAAGCCAGCAAATCACCGTCGCGCTTTTTTTCCTCAAGAGGCTGGAGGTCTGTTGCCAAGCAGAGCCCCCCCAAGGAGCCGCGACGATTTCAGAATGCGAAAATGTCCAACACGTTGCTCTCCTCAAGCTGGACCGCGGGGAATCATCATGGAACGCCCGCGCGCCATCGAATCGCCGTGCGCCGCCTGCCCCCGCCATTGCATCGCGCCGGGCGAGCCGCGGAGGCGCGACCAACGCGGCCCCCGAGCCAGGCCGCCCCGTGACCGCCATGGAACTCATCGCCGCGATGATGCTTCATTCCGCAATCCTCGGGCATAGCGTCCGCGCGAATTTGGGCGCGAGCCGCAGTCGAAACGCGGGCGGAATCGGCGCGCGCGCCGCTGTCAACAAGCCAGGTGCTGCCCCGGCCGCGCAGCCGATAGCTTGCGCGGGAACAACACCTCCCGAGCTGATTGATGATGGAACGCGCTGGCGCGGGACCGACGGACCACAAGAGACGGGCCACTTTGGAGACCCCGCGTGAAGAAGAAACGCTCGAGCGCGAGCGCCGCGTGGGGAATTGGTGGGACGCTGGAGACGGTTGGGTCTCATGCCCGCGCAAGTTGAGCGATTCCGCTTCGGGGGAGTAGCGCTCGTGGGGCCCACCGCGGGCGCGGGGGCCGCTGGCGCTGACTCTGCCGCAACCGCGGCGGGGCCCCGGTGCTCTCCCCTGGGGGCCACGGCGCGTGGCCGCGCTGGTGGCGGAGAAGAGGGGCCTAACGGCAAACGCCGGCTTCGAAGCCTCAACGGCCGGCCGCGGGCGCGACGGCGCAATCGCGAACCCGCCGCGCGAGGCAGCGCAGCCCGCCGCGAGGGCATCCTCTCCAACCGAGCGGGGGTCCCGAGGGGAGCCCCTGTATCCCCGACCCCCCCGCCGTCTTTCCGCGGCGCCCTGCTCCCCCTCCCCGTTTGACTACGATTTGGGATACTTTTTGGGGCGCGATTTTGCATACTTTGTTGGCCTCCCTTCCGCGGAGGCGCACTTTTCTGACCACGATTTCTCTCACAATTAAATCAATAAGAAAAAATAGTGTTCAAACTCGTGGGTGGTTTCGTGGGGCCTTGCAAGGGGGCGCGGAATCGTGGCCGAAAACCGCGGGCAAAATCGTGTCCGAAATCGTGGGCAAAATCGTGTCCGAAATCGTGGGCGAAATCGTGTTGCCGAAATCGTGGGCGAAATCGCGGGCGCAGAATCGCGGGCCTGCCCGGTGCGCCAGCGTGCCAAGCAGACGCGCCCGCGCAGCATCAGCGACGGTAAAGAAAAAAGAAGAAAGAGGAAGCGGCAGCAGTGGCAGGAAGGCCAGCAGCAGCAGCGGGAAAAGGAAATAATGGGAAGCAGCAGCAGGAGAGGAGGAGAGGAGGAGTCGTCGAAATTGGCCCGCCCGTTCGTCGCGCGCCCCACAGCGCGCTGGACATGCCCCTCGGGGGAGACTCGCCGGCCCCACGGGCCAGAGGCGCGCGAAGATCTCCGGCGACTGCCTCGCAGCATTTCTACTTCGCGCGCGCGGGGCGGCCAAGAGGGGCCCCCGGACGCAAAGTGCCCCGGCCAGGTCGGGCCAGAGATGGTTCTTCTCCTGGGCGCGGCCTTCAGGCGCCCCGAAGCCATGCAAGAGGGCCCCAAAAGAGGCGCCCGAGACGGTCAAAGAGGGCTCCGAGTGGTCGAACGATCGACCCGCGACACTCACGATGGCTTCCAAACGGCCCACGACGCGCGCTGGACATGCTCCTCGGGGGAGACTCGCCGGCCCCACGGGCCAGAGGCGCGCGAAGATCTCCGGCGACTGCCTCGCAGCATTTCTACTTCGCGCGCGCGGGGCGGCCAAGAGGGGCCCCCGGACGCAAAGTGCCCCGGCCAGGTCGGGGCAGAAATGGTTCTTCTCCTGGGCGCGGCCTTCAGGCGCCCCGAAGCCATGCAAGAGGGCCCCAAAAGAGGCGCCCGAGACGGTCAAAGAGGGCTCCGAGTGGTCGAACGATCGGCCCGCGACACTCACGATGGCTTCCAAACGGCCCACGACGCGCGCAAGACCCCCCAAGAGGCTACCGCGAGCTGAAACGATACCCGAAATCACGATTTTGACTTTTGAAAAAAACTGGTAGCAGAGAGACCAGGCGGAAACAGACCGGGGGCGACACCGCTCGAATGACGCGTCGAAGCGAGATTGCGCACAAGCCGCACGCCGAATGCCCAATATCGGAGCGAAACGGCGACGCAAGAAGGTCTGAACACAGAGAAACCGAAGAACTGGGAAATCTGACATTTTTGCTTCGGAAAAAAAACACACACAAAATCGTTGCACCGATCGCTTGGGGGGCGCCCCCGATTTTCATTCTGCATGGTTTCCCGACGGCCCCACGGCCACGGCCGGGCCCCCAGAGGCCGACACACGGAAGCAACAAAAATCACCGTCGCGTTTTTTCCTCAAGACTTTGGACACCCGAAATGGGTACCGAAAGAATGGGTACAATGCCCAACAGCAAATGTTGTCCCAAACCAACAGCGGCCGCTGTTGGGCAGGCGGCCCACTGTCTCGAATGGACACAGGCCGCGGCGGCGTGGACAGCGAGCCCTGTTCAGAATGAACAAGAACCGCTGTTGGGCATCGTACCCATTCTTTCCGTGCCCATCTCCGGCGTCCAGAAAGACGCTGGAGGTCCGGTCTGCGACCTCGGGCCGCCAGACGAGGCACCGCACGCAGTAGCTGCTCCCGCCGGGCCCGGCCACGTTGCGCAGGCCCCGGACGCTGCCCGACGCCCTCTCGGCGGCGCGCCCAGGGGGAGGCGCCTCCTCCTCGTCCTCCTCCTCCTCCTCCTCCTCCTCCTCCTCCTCCTCGCACGCCAAATGCCAAACGCCAACCGTATAGAGAGAGACTGCTTCAGATCTTTGTGAAACGACGCGAAGATCGGGACAAAATCGGATCGGGGTAACTCGAAATCTCAGAGAATCGGCGGGTTCGGAGGACGTATGGGGCGCCGCGGCCGCTCCAGAGCGTTCACAGAACGCTCTGAGAGCGCTCCGGAACGCTCTGGAGGGATTTATCCTGATCCTAGCCCTGTTTTATCTAAGAAGCCGCCTGCGTCCTCGGAGGAGGCTTCCGGTTTTTGTTCCGGACGCGAGCGTGCCTGGGTTCTCCATGAAAGCAGGAGGCGCCACTGCCATCAGAACTCCATAGGACTCCGCTCACAGAGACCACCCTCCGAGCTGGTGGCACCCCGTTCTGAGCACGCTCTGGGGGCGCGCCTAGAACGGGGTGCCACCAGCTCTGGGAGAAGGAGCGGCCAGCCCCACTAGCTGGTGGTGGTGGCTCATACCGAAGGTCCTGGCGTTGCAACTGTTTCACAAAGCGCGTGTTCGCTCCAGTTCGGGCCGCAGGACCCTCACAGATCGATCTTGCTCGAAAACTGGCGCAAGAAGATGGAGCCCCGGGCTCCCGTCGTGATTTTTCGCGATTCTCTTTGCTCTCAGGGTTCCTCCTCTCTGGTGAGTTCTGCGCTTCCCGCAGGAGCCCCGCCCCCCCCCCCTGACCTTCCAGGAGGGCTAGAAAATAGCACCAGGACCTCGATACCTCAATCCCTGTCGAAGCTTTAGGCAGCCTAGATAGGTCTATAGATCTGGAGGGCTATTTTTCAGCACTCTGGAAGGTCAGGGCCCGCCCCCCCCCCACCGGGCGCACGCGGCCGAGTCCTGCAGGAGGAGGAGGAGGAGGAGGAGGAGGAGGAGGAGGAGGAGGGGAGGGGAGGAGGGGAGGAGGAGGAGGAGGAGGAGGAGGAGGGGGAGGAGGGGGAGGGAGGAGGAGGAGGAGGAGGAGGAGGAGGAGGAGGAGGAGGAGGAGAGGAGGAGGAGGGGAGGAGGAGGAGGAGGAGGAGGAGGAGGAGGAGGAGGAGCCCCCCCCCCGGGCGCCGGCGGCCGAGTCCTCAGCTGCTGCGCCACCGCGGGCGGGATGGGGTAGCACGTGCCCGGCCCGCGCCGCACCTGCCCGGCCTCCACGAACAGCACGCACGCGCAGCTCGCCCACGCCACCGCCACCTCACGGGAAAGGCTTCACGACTTCTGCCGTCCTTCGACTCGCGCTGGAGCGGCCGCAACTTGCTCCAACTGTCCCTGAAGATCGCTAGGTTTACCTGGACTTACTCGGATTTACCTCAATGTACCTAGATTTATCTGCATTTACCTGGATTTGTCTGCACTTACCTGGGTTTATCTGGCTCGATCCCCACAAGTCGATTGGCAAAGAGTCGTCAAGCCCTTAGGGAACCTCCGCCCAAATCAGCGCCATCAGCGCCCTGGCGAGCTCCAGGTCGGGCACCCTCCTGCCGGAGGGCCCCTCGAGACAATTGGCGGCGCCCCTGCCCCCGGCCGGGATATGCGAGCGCCAGGCTCCTCCCTGGTCCCCTCCAGGCCCATGACTCGACGGCGGGCCTGGCCGTGGCGACTCGAAGCCTCCAGGAGGCCCAGGGCTTAGAATCACGAGGGCGGGTCGCCGCTGGCTCCGCCCCAGGCCCCCGCCGTCCCGATTGTGTCTACAACGTATACCCCCAGAGGCCTCGACCCATTCCTCAGGAGCAGTCTTTCATACTGAGATGTTTTTGTTACCCAACCATCCTGTGGTGTTGGGTCCTCGTTTTGGAAAGCGAGCGCCCCGCGTTCGAACCTTCTCATCCCCTCCTCCTCCCTCCTCCCACTCCTCCCTCCTCCCATCCCTGCCTCTGCCCCCCGCCGCACCAGTCAACCATTTCGGCGCACTCCTTACACGCTTCGTGGGCCCGTAGGGAGCTCCACCTAAGGCCCTTGTGCTGCGTTCGCATGCGCCCACCACACCCATTTCGGCACACTCACCCCTCACACGGTCCGTGGCCCTATGGGGAGCTGCAGCCGAAGGCTACAATGGCTGCGTTAGCAAGCGCCCACCGCACCCATGCCGGCACATCCCGCGCACGCCTCGTGGCCCCATGAAGAGCCTCACCGAAGGCCCAAGTGGCTGAGGTCGCATGCGCCCACCGCACGCATGTCGGCACACCCCTCACACGCTTCGTGGCCCCATATGGAGCGCCACCGAAGGTCCAAGTGGCTGTGTTCGCACGCGCACGCCCCGCTTATTTCGGCACACCCCTCAACTTTGGTGGCCCCACAGGGAACGCCACCGAAGGCCCCAGTGGTGTTCGCATACGCCAGCCCCACCCATCTCGGCTCACCCCTCACACGTTTCGTGGCCCCATAGGGAGCGCCACCGAAAGCCCCCACATGGCGGTTTTGCACCTCTCACACGTTTCGCGGCCCCATAGTGAGCTCTACCGAAGGCCCCAGTGGCGGTGTTCGCATGCGCCCGCCCCCCTCATTTCGGCATACCCCGCACACGTTGCGTGGCCACATGGGGAACCGTATCGAAGGCCCCAGTAGCGGCATTCGCATGCGCTCACCGTTCCTATGTCGGTGCATTCCGCAGCCACGTTTCTGGCCTCACTGGGAGCTCCACCGAAGACGAGACTCACAGCTACGCTACTCACAACTGCAAATGGTTGGGTCCTTCGCCAGGCTAATTGAAGGCTCCTGGGGCCCGGCGAGGGCCCCCAGAGCCCGAAAATCGTAAAAATCGTCCGTCGTGATTTTTGTCCACGACGTGAGAGGGTCTGGGACTGGCTTTCCTCCGCTCTCGGGGGCGTCCAGGACGGGTACAGCCGAAGAGGGGGGGAAGCGCACCATGGCCTGAGGCATGTGCGCGGACGAGAGGGGGGAACAGGGGAAGCATGAAAAGAAAAGGATGGGGCCATGAAATCTCATACGTCAACGGCTTCCATGCATCGTACCATGTTTGGACTCCCTTCAGGCCCCGCTCCAAGAGGGTACGTTGAATAGTTTGTCGCTGGGGGCCGAAGGACCATGCACCGTACCATTCATGGGTCGAGGATCGAAAACGCCGCGGGAGAAGCCAAGGCGGCAAGGTGCACACAAGTCGTCTGCGGGTATCATGGCCCTGGCCATGAGATCCACTTCCCCCTGCAGTCGAGGCTGAGTGGAGAGGACACGCGAGAGGACACAAGGCCCTTCCGAAGGCCACGCTGTTATGCCATGGGAATGTAGAGTCAGGGTCGACCTACTAATCAACCTCGACTGCAATCACCACCCTCCGCCCTCCTCCGCTCCTAGGGAAACAACAAAGAGCCTATACCGCTACTCCCCGGACAGCTCCTCGGGTGCGTTCTGACCAGGATCTCGAGGCGAATCCAGCGGTGGTGACGAGGGCCTCTAAGGCGGCCCAAAGAGGGGACCAAAAAGCCAAGGGTAGCGGTATGGGTTCTTTTGCTCCCTCTGAATTTCGGCCGCCCTCCTCCGCTCCTGGCGCCTTGCCACGTGACGAAGACCAGCAGGGCGCTCACCGACGGCACAACGAGCAGCGCGCGCCGCCTCTTCTCTGGCAAGACGGGCGGCGGAAAGAGAAAGGGGTCTTACGCGAGATGGCGTCGCGGCCTTTCGGGGCTTGCTAAAGTCGGCGGCGAGAGAGAGGGGGAAGTAAGAAGCAGAAGGCCCTCTCAGAAGGCGGCGGGACTTCTCAGAAGGCCTCCGGCCGTCTGAGGGGCTTTCTGCGCCTTCGGGGGGAGGGGATTTCCGAGCCTCCTCAGAAGGCCCGCCCCTTCTCGCTTCCCCCCCGGGCTGGCCACCGACAAGGTGCCCCCAGTTTCCTGCTCCATTTTGGAGCCCCTGGGGCCGCCTGGGCCTAGTTCGGGTCGGGCGAAAGGGGGGGATAGCAAAGGGGGGGTTTGAGAATCAGCTCACGGAGCTGATTTTCCCGGCGCCTCCCGGCGCCGGAGGCGCCCATGTATCGAGGAATGGGCCCGGCGGCGGGGCCGAAACCAGCTGCATGCAGCAAATTCCGTATCCCCCCCTTTCCCAATCCCCCCCTTTCGCCCGGCCCGACTAGTGGCGGGGTGCTCTGGAGGCCGTGGGGGCCTCCCTGGAGATCCGGCGGGCACCTTGGGCCGGGGGCACCTCTAGCCACACCCGAGCCTCACGCCGCGGCCAGCGCGGGCCGCCGGCGCGGCACACCGCGTGGAGGAGAGGCCGCTCGCGCGCGCCCTGGCGCGGGCCGCTTGCGCGCGGACGTCGACACAGTCGACCCCGTGTTCTTTCGCCGCTCCTCGGAGGAAGCAAAACCCCGAGGGGGACGGGCCCCTGGGCCCCGCCGAACTCGCCTCCAAGGGCCACGGCACGGTGCACGCATCGGAGAAGGAACGCTTGGACAAGGCATCCAGGATCTGGAAGCCGGTGGAGCTTGGGTTCCAACGTGGGTCTGTTAATATAGAGAGGGTAATGAAACAAACGTTGCAACACATATTCTGCGTATCTGTGCATATGCGGTCTGGCAAATCGGGGCGGCATCATCGCGACGCCAACGGGCGTCGCGGACTCGAGCCTTTGGCCTGGAAGCACGAAGCGCACGTTTACCCAGATCATGAAGTTCTGCAACCAGTCACTGTGCCCTGGGGGTGCGCGGACACGCAAAACACTGTTCAGCTAATCGTTAGCTGGCGCCCGCCTCGAACTCATGCCCCATCCCCCGCCTTTTCCAAATATCCCTTCGCTGCGGCCCCACCCTCCTCATGCCCCTCCGATTGCCCCGGTCCTCATCATGCCCTTCATCTACACTGCCCCCCCCATGTGTCAATTCACGTCGTTCCTCGTCGTCCTCCTGCGCCGGATTCGTTCCCCCATCGTCCACGTGCCTGCCTTCCCCCCATCCTCTACGCCCTAGTGCACATCATGCCCCCAACTTCTGCCCTCCCCCACCTCCCTCGCCCTCGCGATGCTGACGCCGATGATGCAAATCCTCCTGGGCTCTCTTTCTCCGCTCTCGTCCAGTCCCGTTCATCCTTGGCCCCTCGGCCACCCCTCCTATCGAACCCCTTCCTTCCCACAGCCCACCATCCCCACCCCCCCGCGCCTTTGCATGCCCAGACCACGGCCCCCTCCTGGACCAGCCGGGAGACCCGCGGAAACTCCCGCCCAGTGACCACTCCAGCGAGAGGCGCGCAACAAATGCACAGTTGGAGACACGAACTGTGTATTTCGACCGCGCACGACGCCGCCCCTGGACCAGCCGGAAGAGAAACGCGAAAGTTCCCGCCCATTCAACACCACTCGCGAGGGGCACACTCCAAATACACAGATGGGAACGAGATCTGTGTACACAGATCACACCACGATCTGTGTAAACAGCGGGCCCACACACGAAAATACACAGATGAAGACACAAACTGTGTACACAGATCACACCTTGATCTGTGTATTTCGAAAAGGTGAACGCTCGCCACCTCGAGGGCGCCCCGACTTTGCCAACCCAGAACCGAGGTCGACATGCCCAGCTGGGGGGGAATGCAAATACACACTTCCCCGGCCCAGGGCGCCCCCGAGAGAGCCGCAAATACACGCTTCCCCGGCCCAGGGCGGCCGCGGTGCAACGCGGCGCCGAAGCGGCCCCCAACGGCCCGAAGACGTCCCAAAAGGCCTCGAAGGACCCCAAAGAATGCCGCGCAGCAATCCGAAAACACGAGAGATGTCACATGTCAAGGACC